CTGAGAAATTTGGGAATTACACTTTTTGAATTTTCAGCTCCAAACTGCCTAAAACATTAAAACGCATACTAATTAAACGCATACTAATTAAACGCATACTAATTAAATTAGACAGCTTTAAGACCTAGACCATAAATTGGCTAACGGGTGATACTCGTAAAATATTTGTTTCAAGATCTTGGAGTCGATGTTACTCCTAAGCTTAGTTGGAATAGTCAGTGCGACAGAATTTATACTAAGGCCTGCCAACAACTTGGTATGGTCAGAAGAGATGGCCATATTGTCATTGATCAGAAACGTCGCCGGGCGCTTTACCTCTCCCTGGTTCGTAGCCAATTCGAAAATTGTTCCATAATCTGGCGCCCTTGTAATAAATCACTTAGTGATAAATTAGAAAGTCTCCAAAAGAGAGCTATTAAATGGATTCTGTCTGAAGAGGGCCGCAGTTATCCACCTGAGCAATATGTCAAAAAGTGCAAGCTTGTCGACATTCTCCCTTTGTCTCAAAAGTTTGACTTGAATGATCTTATTTTTTTCCACAAAGTTCTTAACAATTTAATTCCTGTATCGCTGCCTCACTATCTCTCTTTATATCAGGGCACTTCTCGACTAAGACGTTGCCACCTCGACAGTCTGTCTATTGTGTCATCAATTTTACCTAAGTTAAGTCAGAATTCACACACCACATGTACCTCAAATAGCCCACTGGCAAAATCATTTTTCTACAGAACTCATATACTGTGGAATGGACTCCCTTTACAGGTAAGACAGATTGTGTCTACTAGTCTTTTCAAAGCTGAGGTCACTAAGCATCTCTGGAAATGTTTATTGGACAGTGAAACAACAGTCTAGCCTAGTCTCTTTGCTCCCCATATTATTATTATTTTTGTTTTATTAATTTTTTTAATCTACCTTCCTATACTTTCAACATCATATCACACTTCACCCGCACACCTTCTCACACATTAATGACCGTTTCAGACCTGTATCTAATGTATCTGGAATTTGACGTATTGAAATACCAATTTTGACTCTTTATCCACAGTTATTCACCATGGATTTGTTTGTTATTAATTAGTTTTTCATAAATTTTTGGATTTAGATTAATTCGATGTAATGGGTCCAAGTTACTGCGGACATAGTTCACTATGTGTTTACCGTGTTTGGGTGCCCATCATATTTTACAGATGGGGGCGATATTTTGAACGATTCTATTTTATATTCATCTATTGCTGTACTCTGTAAAATTTGAAAAGTATTTAATAAAAAAAATTGCAAATATTAGTATCAAATATTAATATCAAGACTGTCGACGCGACGAGTCCAACTCTAGTTGCTCTAACCAAAGCCCTCTCGCCTGCAGCGCGTATACACATGGCTATGTGAACAACTCGAGTATCACCCGTTAACTATGCGCAGCGCTGATCTTTTCGAGCTTAACTTCTCACATATATGTTCAAATGTAACCAAGCATGCTAAATGCTAAAGCTGCGGCATAATGACAGGCTGCGCTGAGCGCCGCCCAGCTCAGTAAGCTAATTTATTGTTTGCTTCTTGCGCAGATATGGAAGAAGCTCAACAACAAACAAGGCGCTGTGTTACTGGGCCGCGCTCAGCCTGTCATTCCGCCAAATCTTATTTATGTTAATGAACATAATAGCCTGGGGTCCTCAGGTAAGGCACTGTGCTTATAGCCACAGGTTTCACATTTGATTCACGATGTCAATCCTTCGCATCTCGCCGATCTGCATGTGGTTGCGAGAAGCATTATTGGATGCGCGCGCGCGACCCAGTAGTGCATCGCGCTACAACGCGCGCCGCTTTCTTCTCGAAATGCCCGATGGCAAGTGCTACGAAGTAGCGCGCGCCGGGCCAGACCATTATCAATGGTCAAGGTGGAAGGACTTCGCCACGACGCGCAAACTATCATTTTTATACTTTGCATCGTTGCTCTGTTAATTTAATTTGCAAAGCAACGATCTGAAAGGGTTGACATCGTCAATTAACCATACTAGGTAGTGCGCTATCGACATGACAGTGAGCCGCGCGTGCCGACTGTAGGATGGTTTTTTAGCGCTAATTTCGGCCAGCACAATTTTCTTCAGACAAATAAATATTAAGTATCCTTCCCGACCTCCAATTGCAACAAAAATTGGTAAGCTTACTCGTACTCATAGACTTACAAGGAAAGTGTCCTAAAAATTTAAAGCATATCCAATTAACAAACATTATGTTACAGCTAAAAGCAGCGTATTTTGCCCCATTTTGATCACTATATTAGGAGGTGCACGATAAAAATAAACTTGCTCGGATTTTAAAAATTTTTGTACCAGTGTTTTCTAGAGACTGTGAGAATTTTCACAATACCAAATTTGTCATACCTTCTTGGAAAGATCAGTGAATTTCGCCTAAGTGCCATATTTGATGGTGCGCGGCTTTTGGAGCAAAAGTAGCTGTAAAAGTCGCGTAATTTGACCAAATTCGTCCAAATTTGACCATTTTTGTCGTATTATTCGGATTTATCTTCAGTTCCTTAAATGAGATCATTCTGAAAATTGGCGACGACCTTCGATCCAATAGGGCTTTTACAACTGTCCGAAAAATTTGGTGGATATCGGAGTTGATATAGTGATCAAAATGGGGCAAAATACGCTGCTTTTAGCTGTAACATAATGTTTGTTAATTGGATATGCTTTAAATTTTTCGGACACTTTCCTTGTAAGTCTATGAGTAAGCTTACCAATTTTTGTTGCAATTGGAGGTCGGGAAGGATACTCAATATTTATTTGTTTGAAGAAAATTGTGCTGGCCGAAATTAGCGCTAAAAAACCATCCTACAGTCGGCACGCGCGGCTCACTGTCGATGGCGCACTACCTAACTATATCAACTCCGATATCCACCAAATTTTTCGGATAGTTGTAAAAGCCCTATTGGAAGGTCGTCGCCAATTTTCAGAATGATCTCATTTAAGGAACTGAAGATTAACCGAATAATACGACAAAAATGGTCAAATTTGGACGAATTTGGTCAAATTACGCGACTTTTACAGCTACTTTTGCTCCAAAAGCCGCGCACCATCAAATATGGCACTTAGGCGAAATTCACTGATCTTTCCAAAAAAGGTATGACAAATTTGGTATTGTGACAATTCTCACAGTCTCTAGAAAACACTGGTACAAAAATTTTAAAAATCCGAGCAAGTTTATTTTTATCGTGCACCTCCTAACCATACTTGATACTATATACGTTTTAGGCCCACTGCGCGGCTGTCGGGCTGTATCGTGGCTTTTGCCACGATACTAGTGAAAACTTTGACCATTGTTAATGATCTGGCCCGGCGCGCGCTACTTCGTAGCACTTGCCATCGGGCCACATTTCGAGAAGAAAGCGGCGCGCGCTACTTCGAAGAAATTTAGACGAGTAACATCCGTCAAGTGAAAACGACACTAAGTGAAACGACAATGGGAGTCATGACGACTTGATACAAAAACTAACGTGGTAATTCTTACTTAGTTTATAAATCTATTTTGAAGGACTTCAACGCTTCGACGCGCTAACTATCATTTTTATTTCGCATCGAAGTAAAAATGATCGTCGCTTTGTTAATTCGCATAGTAACGATATGGAAGGGTTGACATCGTCAATCAAAGATCTATCTAGCATCTAGATTATAGAGTACGCTATAAAAATTATAAATATAATATCTACCGCGCACATACCACGACACTTTGTCTTTATATTATTACAAACGACTAATAAGCGAGTACTGGTCTAACGACTTAGTTGCTGAACCGGAAACCTGCGCTAGTCTGATATCAATCTATTTTCTGGAATATGGGCGTGTTATAGTTAACTATAAGTATAATTACCTCGATAGAATCGAAAATTACGCATACTTGATAATTGATATTTGATATTGCATATGTTTAGTTGACGGATGTTACTCGTCTAAATTTATATTCGAAGTAGCGCGCGCCGGGCAAGTATTAACAATGGACAATGCATATGCAGAGCTTGTGTGGTTTTGGCTAATACTGAACGCGGCGCTCAGCCTGTCATTCCGCCATATATCTTCAATCGCCATATAAATATAATATCTAGCTGTAATTTTACCTGGGGACCCCAGGCTATAATGTTCATAAACATAATAGAGATTCGGCGGAATGACAGGCTGAGCGCCACCCAGTAAGAAATTCAATTGTGTTTATGAACACGAAAGTCAAGTCTGAGGTCCCCAAGTATTACTATTACCTGGGGACCTAAGGCTTTTCTGTTCATAAATAATAAACAGATTGAAGATGCAGCGGAATGGCATGGTGTTCCATGTTTTGTATCATGTGTGGTACGCAGTTTAATACTTATTATACTTATATTACAGCTATAAGTATAACAGTATGGACTATTACTGGGCGGCGCTCAGCCTGTCATTCCGCCGAATCTTTATTTTGTATATGTTTATGAACATAATAGCCTGGGGTCCCCAGGTAATATGGACTAGGGCTTCTCTCACGTCACGCAGTAGCAGGTCCCGCAACGTGTAGTGGGACAAATTAGCGATGGACCGTCGTGTGTACAGAGGGCGACAAAGAAAATGACTGCCCCTCCTCTAAAAATAGCTGCGGGAGCAACGTCAAACAATCGCATAGCGTTACATAATACTGAATACTGATACCATCATTAATAGAAAGGGAGTGGTTAATGGTGAGACTGAGAGCTTTTTTAATCACAGCACAGGTCCTTTGAATTGTGAATATTTGTACGTTATTGGGCTATATCACCACGCTGACGTATATCCAATATCTTGTATGGGATAACATGGTTTGGGCTTCTCTAATACGACTATTTCCCCTTTAAATTTGCAGCAAAGGCCTCTGTAGGATAGTCAATAGTGGTCAGATCTGTTCTTTTGATGTTTGGTTCTGTGGACGTTATAGATGTTGCATACTTAGTCGTGGCCTGGCAAGGTGAAGGGGTAGGTTAGGTGCAAATCTCACCAAACTTCATCGTCAACAATAAAAAATTGTATGATTTAAGTATAATTTAAGTATCAAATACATTTACACATTGTTTTAAGAACACTAGGATGTTGTTCTAAAAGACCAAAATAGAACCTCAGACCCGATCACTCGAAACTGTTACAAATACAATGACTTTACATTTTGTAATAAAGTCGGGGATGCAACGACAAATTTTGACAGCTAGAACAGAAATTATTTTATATCGTAAAATAACTCATTAATCGTTACTTTTAACATTTTCAGTCGTTACATAAAAACAAAACAATTTTAATTTCATCCCCACTTGTTCACGCGCCTCCTACTATATACATTAGGTGGTAAGGAAACATTTAGTATAATTATCAAGTATAAAGTTAAGTACAATTCAAGATGTGATCTTATCAAAACACTGAAACCACCGTTATTCCACTATATTCGACCACTTTTAACAACTTATCCCACCATCGAACCATTAGTCAATAGTCATAGATATCAAATATGAAATTAAAGTTAAAAACTAGAGCGTATTCACCATTAGATAACATAATTGTAATATAAGGAAATCACACTACTGCGGTTATGAATAAGATAAATCAGACTCTAAAGCTAGATCTGACGCTGACGTAATCATTTCTATCAACATAATGCATCTTGTTCGATTGATGATTAATAATTCTTCTGTCACACTGATACAGCTGCTGCAGCTAACCTGGTAACCTGGTAACCAGGTAACCAGGTAACCTGGTAACCTGGTAACAGTCCACTCCAACAATCCCGCCGTTATACAACCTCTGTTAATCCAAAGAGCGCAGTACACTCTGACCTAAGTCTGTCTTGCTGGCCGAGGGAAGTCGTTCACTTTAAGTTATAAATGAAAGGGCCACTTTTCAAATATAACTTCCGTAAGAAACCGTGTTATCAGACTTTTTTATCCTGAGCCTCCTGATAGTTTGACCAAGCTGAAAATATCAAACATTAGCTCTAGCTTGTACGCTGTAGTTGTAATGTGTCGGACAAAAATCTCAAAAGTCTCATAACAAACTTCATCACAACATGTTCTAATAACAACACCTAACAACACTTGGCAAGTTGGTAATCTAGCCAGGCACAGTTGGGGCACGATTAAAATTCCGTGGCAAAGTTGGGGTAAAAAGTTACTTGGGGCACACTTTGGGCATAGTCGGGGCAAAAACAGCTGGAGCACAGTTGGGGCACAGCTGGGGCACAGTTGGGGCACAGTTGGGGCACAGTTGGGGCACAGTTGGGGCACAGTTGGGTCACAGCTGGGTCACAGCTGGGGTACAGTTGGGGCACAGTTGGGGCACTTCACTACTAACCTCGAGCGTTCAAAGCACGTGTATCAATCTCAGAATTCTTCATTGCATCAGGAGATTGGACCATGTAGTAAGTAAAACTAGCAATAATAATAGCAAGAGTGCCGAACTGTCCCATAACTCGCTTCTGAAGCATCGCCGCTAGATTGAGGGACTCTCCCGCGCTGGCTGCCCTCATTCCTCTGTAGAAGAAGTATCCTGTTGCTCCCATTCCTGTTAGAGCACGGTTATTATTTCCCCTTATCACGTGATCAACTAGATTTTAGCGTATTTACAGTGTAAAAACACGTGCTTAAAACTGTAGAATCACTGACTAATACCTTAAATATTTACTGACGCCTGAATAAGAGGCCTTGAAAACAGATTTAAAAAGGAAGAAAATGAAAATATCAAACAATATAATAATTACTAATAATAGTATATAATAGTATATAATAGTATATAATAGTATATAATAGTATATAATAGTATATAATAGTATATAGAGACTTACCAGCTGCCATAAGGGGGTTCCTGATCAGAAACATGAAACCACCAGGTTTGGCAGATTCCTCCTTTTTAGCTTCATTTATATTGTCAAACAGTTCAATTAACTTCTCCGTACCTAAAAGTAGAAATTAATAAGAAAGATAATTAGATACGATAAAGTATGTTTAATTAACAATTGTACCATATTCTCATTTTGTTTGTAGGTTTATAACCTACCAAGACGCGCGCCGAGTTGGACTCGTCGACGGTCTTGTAATTTTTATATATGGAACAAATATTTTACGAGTATCACCCGTTAACATTTTGTTTGAAAAGAAAAGGATCCTGACCTGATATACATATGGGTCAAACTTAGATTTCCTGAAAGTTTCGTAAGCCACGCCCAATTACAGTGGGCGTGGCGTGACACTCCCTCTTTTTCACTATTGTCTTCATAAAATGAGAACGCTTTAAGCTAAGAACTCAAAATTTTTTGCACACATTTGGCTTGATAATTGAAAACTTTTCCAAAAGTTTCAAGTTCATTGGTTTAAATATGGCTGAGTTATGACCATTTTAAAATCCATCGGATATGTGATCCGAGCACTCAGTCAGTGATATTTGCACTCAATTAGTGATCTCGTCACCCAATCTGATCAAGAGTAAGGCGTTAGCGTGTATTAATGAGGTTCATTAGGCTTTGATTGGATACCGATGATGACTTTGCTAGAAAGGGAAACACAAATTTTTAGGATAAAAACCAGATCGTGACCTTTTCAGGAAAAGCCGTTCTCTCCACCACTTCATCCGGTCTAGTAGAGCCCCAGTGAATTGCATTCTGGGAGTTGACATATCCGTTTATATGGCCTTGTCGCTGTACCAGATTTCGTCCTCAAAGTAGGGATCCACATTCTGCTTGGACAGTTAAGCTAAGAACTCAAAAGGAACCTGTGACTAGCAGGGCTAACAAGCCCTGAAATGGTGACACCACCATAAATTCGTGTGATAGCGTTTTAGGTGCAGTCAGCTGTATAGGCCGGCCCATAAGCAGGCTGCAACCAATCAAGCGGTGCATGTGAGCCGAACAGGCCATTAACCAAGTGACGAGATCACTGACTGAGTGGCGAGTGCTCGGATCACGTATCCGATGAGTTTTGAAATGGTCATAACTTAGCCATATTTTAACCAATGAACTTGAAACTTTGGGAAAGGTTTTCAATTATCAAGCCAAATGTGTGCAAAAAATTTTGAGTTCTTAGCTTAAAGCGTTCTCATTTTATGAAGACAATAGTGAAAAAGAGGGAGTGTCACGCCACGCCCACTGTAATTGGGCGTGGCTTACGAAACTTTCAGGAAATCTAAGTTTGACCCATATCTATAATCTCTGAAATTTTGGTGCAATTTGGAGACGAATTACGTGAGTTATTAAGAGGTTGCGTGTGGGTAGTCACTTATGGGCCACCCTGTACATGTAGATCAATCGTCAAACTTAAAATAAGGTATTCAATATTCATTCTAATCGAAGATTTGAAAATGTGAATAATAATAGTCACCTGCATCTTCGTTTCCTGAATCACCACGTGGACCACTCATTCTACCTTAGGTGAGAAGTTAGGTTAAATCTGCTGAAACTACCATTTCAAGATAACTGACAAAATAATTCACAAAATATATTCGGAAATTTATAGAAAGTCAGTAGGTAGTTATGATCGAAACAAAGTCTTATAGTTTTAAAAAATGACAAATAAAAAACAACTTTACAAATATTTCGGGATTAGGTTAATAAAATTATGCAATGTCCGGACACCTGTCATCATGAACCTTGTTACCATGGTTACCATGGTTGCCATGGTTACCTTGTTACAATGTCCTCGTGTGTTACACAATGTCCTCGCCTGTTACATCCGTGTGTCACACGTCTGTTACACTCGTGAATGGTTCGTGTTCAAACTTCAATGTTCATCCTGTTTCGTTACTGGCAGATTCTGGTGCTGAACTTGGCGAAACTGAGTCCGCTATGTGTATCTCTGAAAATAAGCCCGATTATCAAAGGGGTTGCAAGAATCATGTGACAACTGACAATCACCGATCACGCATCATGAGACAAAAATATTCCGGTTTTAACTTTTGGTCTTGTAAAACCAGACTGTCAATTTTCATTTTCAATTGCAATTTTAAGCCTTCTAAATGCCGGAAAGTGAGAGCGGTAAAAATAAACGAATCATGGTAAATTTACACAATTTCCATGGTCCAATAAATGAAACTAAAGGTTTGCTATGCAACAATAAGTTATATTTTACATTCCTTTAATCACGGCAAGTGGTTGATTTCAGTGAGACAAGTTTCTCTATAATCTTAGAGATACGTCTACTTAACAGCTGACGATATGCTGTTTTCCGCCTAAAGACCACTCAAAGTTCTGACGTTTTTAAGCACTCATGACAAATTGTGACAAATTTTGGCATTTTAGGGGTCCCTAAAGGAGTTCCTGGGAACCGGCAATTGATTCTTAATCTTATGGTTTCTCATGGTTTGCAGGATTACCTTAACCCTAAAAATAAATTTGGGTTAAAGAATTCAGAACTTCAAAAAGTGGTATTTAAGCACATTTGTCAGAAAACGGTAGCAACGTCATGCCATATCACATAAATAATTGTTCAAATAGTCTGAAATACAGCATTCAGGGACTGAGAAGTGAGCCCAAACGATCGCACAATGATTTTTGAGCCTGCAATATTTTCACTTATATGAATGGACCTTGATTCACGATGTCAATCCTTCGCATCTCGCCGATCTGCATGTGGTTGCGAGAAGCATTATTTGATGCGCGCGCGACCCAGTAGTGCATCGCGCTACAAGAATGGACCCAATGTTGAATGTACATCGACCGTCTTCTTTCATCGAACCTACTTTTACTGATGTGTCTGTCTCGATGTAGCTATTGCATACTCTGGCGTTATTATTGAAGACTTGAGATGACTTAATTTGACTGCTAAAATCTGATCTATTGTCAAGTTTTTGACAACTAGCATTATGATTAATTTAATTTGATGTTTGTTTCTGTAAATTTGAGGAAAACTGACCAGGTGCGCCATGCGATGCTTTTTTAAAAGAATGCTACCATTTTTGAACGGGCATTACGTGGACGCTGGAGGCCCTAGCGCTTATATTTATGCCTGTTCAAATAAAGTCTGCCCGTTTGACTGGTGACCGTAATTCTGGAGTTTCATTGGTCAAAAGCGGATGCTGATTGGTCAAAAGCAAATGCTGATTGGTCAAAAGCAGATGCTGATTGGTTGATGTTGTCATGAGTAAATAAAAGCCTCACCTCCCCACCTGAATCCACCACATCTGTTGTCTTGATAATTATAATTGTGTTTTTTCCAAATTAAACGTTATCCTTGGTTTATTATATACTTTATCAATATTTCTGATGGGATTAAATATAATACATATATACAATGTGATGCAAAATGAATGTTAGGAGTTTAGATGGCTATAATTTCGGAGGCAAATTCCAATTTCACTGCATTTTTGCATTTTTGCCCTTCATAATTACTGTTTTCCCAGTGTCGCTATCCCTGATAACCTATCTTATCTAAACTATGACCTTTTTTATTTCCATTGGAGAGGATTAGTAGCGTGGGATTCTACTCTGATGTTTTGGATAGTTTCCCTGGAAAATTTGCTCCTCCACAATATATTTTATCATTTTTTACAATCCCAACATTCTTTGCATCACCCTGTGGCCTGTATATTTATCCACAAAATCTACAAAATATGTACATTTTGTTTTCTTGGGTTTCAATTTCTATTGATTCCGTTTGATGCGACAAGGAAAAGGCTCTTGTCAGGAAAGGAATTATTCAACGTTTTAATGTGACAAAATCGTATTCATGATCTCAAATTATTTGTTATATAGTAGTGTTGAAAGTAAAAAAGAGTAATTAAGAGCCTTTTCCTTGTCACATCAAACGGGATCAATAGAAATTTCAACTATGCGACTCATAAATAATATTCCAATCCGGATTTTACTATGTACATTTCAATTGATCAGAATGACCATTTCTTTCTATTGCAAGTGAATGGACTCAGCAACAGAAAGCCAGTAGGTAGTCATGACAACAACACTTCGAGGATTTGTCCTCAGTGCTATTCCTTTATTTCTTCTCGGCATAACTTTTATGCTAGTGGTGGCGTACTTCATATCTACTTATCGAAAAAGTGACGATGAAGTTGAAGAGAGATGCAAACTTAAAACAGAACCTGAAGATGCCGCAGATAAACAAGAGCGTTTAGAAATGATTATGATGTTTTTTGATGACAATTTTTAAAATAATCTAAAGCTGGATCTTTGATTAATATTGCTATTGTATTGCTCTTTTACGCTGAGTAAACAGAGATACCCATTTGCTTTAAATATCTTATATCAGAAATATCACAACCCAAAGGTTTATAGCTTTAAAAGTTTTAATTTCGACAGAGCAACTCTTTAAATGATTGTGTGGTATTGACGGGGATGCAGGCCACAGTTTGTGTTTGTTGTTTTGATCTACAAATAAAGAAGACTGTATAATGAAGTTTAATTAATTAAATTCTTTTGAATAAATAAAGGTAACCAATATGTGTCGAGATTATTATTTTTCTCTTATAGTTTATTCCATCTGATGTCTGATTGTACCACCATGTCTGTCGTATATAGTTTTTAAACGTTAGTGTTACCAATAAAGCAGCTTAAAGGAAAATGAGAATTTTTTGTTGGAGAATTCTAAATTATTATAGTTTTCTCTTTGTTATGAGAGCCGCTCTGACATTAGTAGCTAGTACCATTCTTGGTTACTAGTTGCTAATATGAGCGGGATATAAATACTTTGTTATTATTATTATTATTATCATTTAAAAAAAGGGCCTTCTTAGGTAAATTTCTATTGATCCCGTTTGATGCGACAAGGAAAAGGCTCTAATCAGGAAAGGAGTTATTCAACGTTTCAATGTGACAATATCGTATTCATGATCTCAAATTATTTGTTATATAGTAGTGTTGAAAGTATAAAAGCGTAATTAAGAGCCTTTTCCTTGTCACATCAAACGGGATCAATAGAAATTTACCCAAGAAAACATTTCAACTATGCGACTCATAAATAATATTCCAATCCGGATTTCACTATGTACATTTCAATTGATCAGAATGACAATTTCTTTCTATTGCAAGTGAATGGACTCAGCAACAGAAAGTCAGTAGGTAGTCATGACAAGTGCTATTCCTTTATTTCTTCTCGGCATAACTTTTATGCTACTAGTGGTGGCGTACTTCATATCTACTTATCGAAAAAGCGACGATGAAGTTGAAGAGAGATGCAAACTTAAAACAGAACCTGACGAATGATGACGCAGATAAACAAGAGCGTTTAGATAGAATTTTTTTTGATGACAATTCTTAAAATAATCTTAAGCTGAATCTTTGATTAATATTGCTCTTGTATTTCTCTTTCACGCTGAGTAAACAGAGATACCCATTTGCTTTAAATATCAGAAATATGACAACCCAAAGGTATATAGTTTTTAATTTCAACATTTAAAAAAAGGGCCTTCCTCAAAAGCTTTGCGTAATAGCTCATATATCAAAGAAAAGATTGCTCTGGCTGAAGATAGAATCAGTATATTTTAATAATTCAATAGGAAACATTTTGACTTCTCATTATACTCCATTCGTAGAGTACAAGTAAAGAGATTACGCAATATTACTCTTCTTTATCTATCGGGTAAGCGCTATCAGCTGCCCGATCACAACTTTAAATACCCACAAACTCCATTTTAGGCCCCCAGAAACTAATAAGCAACAGTTGCGCCCGTAGTTTTTATCGCAATATAAATATATTTTGGTAATTTTCCCTTGTGTTTCACAAAAAATACTAATTTTCTGTTTAATATTGTCCATAAATTGTGAAAATAAAGCCAAGTGCGTATTGGTTTCTTTTCAATTCAACTGAGATCAAAAACCTGTCTCAAACACGATAATAGCATCATTGTAGAATATTGTACATTTTGCTGCCAAATTGGACAATTTTTCGTAAAAATATTTTAAATTCGGTGATAAAAACGTCCCACCCCCGGCCCGCATAGCAAAAACGCTACTGTAGCAAAAACGTCTCTAAAGCTAATTGTAAATTGGGCGCATTTTTGTGGTGTTTTTTAAAAATTAGGATTTTTGTGAATATTTCCTTGTGTTTTACGAAGACTAAAGACTCCTTAGTCCTAGCCGAACATACAGAAATGTCATGTATTTTAGGGTTCAATAAAAGAAGCATGTATCGAGGACTTACCAGGTAGATTTTGGTTTCGTCTTAGACAATTCTTATTCATTCTTATTGAACTTATTAAGAGGCCCTTATTTCCCAATTAGGGCCACTCCAAAAACTAAAAAACAAGAATTTCGCCCGCGGTTATACCACTGGACTAAATCTTTCCTTGTGACAGAAGAGCAATTTATTAAAGAAAGAAAACTATTTCCTTGCGTTTCAAAACACATACCAGTTATAACTTCGTTCTCGATTTGGCGGAGGTAACTTTCCCGCTTGAGGCCCCAAGCGCCGAGTATAATGAATCCGACTGTAGCAGCCTGGGCTGAGATACGGCCTTTGAGGGCTTGGTTGAAACCCATGTGGTCGACTCCCATCAGTTTACCAGCTTTTATCAAATAGTATACCGTCGCCCCCATACCTGAACGAGATGATAAATTACATAATATAATGCAATTGTATTTCTAATAATATAATGAAGAGCACGAGTACAGCAGTAACTATTGATCGCATGAGTGTACAGTGTACAATGTACCCAGTGTACACAGTACCCAATGTACAGTGTACATGTGTCAACTGTCATGTATATCAAAATAAAAGTTCGGGTATCGCCATTTTGGTCATTGACTATTTAGGCATTTTAAAATAAAAATTGTAAATTTTGACCAACAATTTTCTTGTGAAAAAAGGGAACATCGTAGTTTGGCGATCAGATGTGACGCCCCTACCGTAAAACAAAGGGAACAATTAGGGAAGACATGAAGTAACGAAAATGTTGTGAAATAAAATAAAAGATGTAAAACCTGCTGTGACGAAAGGGTTGGAGACAAAGTACTCTAGCAGCCTAGATTTGGCCGATCTGTCCTGCGTGAACGTTATCTCATCGAACAAGTCGCCCAATTCATCTGAAACAAATGATTGTAATAGGAATATGTGTGTAGAGTACTCAAAGTAGAAGTTTAGGTTACATTATATGTATGGAGTTAAGGGGGGGGGGCCAATGGGTATTTTTTTGTGAAACTTGATTTCGAGATAGCAGTTGACCAACAAACTAGGACCAGTGACCGAACTTTTGAGGGGGTCCCGGACCCCAACCGCCAAACGGTGCGCGCAGGGCAGCCACGCCCATATTTGGTCCAAATTAGGCCCAATTTAGCCAAATACCCTGTACATGCCCCAAACCCAGGTTTATGGTGCTCTACTTGTAGCTAGTGGTCTCCTGAACTCGTATATGAAATTTCATCAAGATTGGACAAAAAATGACTGAGTTATGAGCCAAAAACCATATGCCCATATTTGGGCATACGCACCAAATTTGGTAGATTTCGTCCCATAAATTGGTCAAATATCAATATTTTTGAATGAAACTTACTTTATATGAAAGGTAAGCCTAAACTACATATTCTCTGTAATTTATAGCTTTATATCTGTTTAAATGTGGATACTAAGGCGAAAAAACCACAAAAAATGAACTAAATTGCCCATATCTCGGTTCGCGATATTCGCGGAATTGATCTCACCAAAATTGTAACAACTCAATCAGTTTTCAAAATTTTTGCATGAAATTTTTGGAATCGACTCGAAATCGCATTTCGACCTTATTTTAAGAACGGATTTTTGATTTAGGCCTCAAAAAAAATTTGGCGGCCAAATTCCAAAATTATATTACAGAAATTCAGAATTTGGCCGCCAAATTTTTTTTGAGGCCTAAATCAAAAATCCGTTCTTAAAATAAGGTCGAAATGCGATTTCGAGTCGATTTCAAAAATTTCATGCAAAAATTTTGAAAACTGATTGAGTTGTTACAATTTTGGTGAGATCAATTCCGCGAATATCGCGAACCGAGATATGGGCAATTTAGTTCATTTTTTGTGTTTTTTTCGCCTTAGTATCCACATTTAAACAGATATAAAGCTATAACTTACAGAGAATATGTAGTTTAGGCTTACCTTTCATATAAAGTAAGTCTCATCCAAAAATATTGATATTTGACCAATTTATGGGACGAAATCTACCAAATTTGGTGCGTATGCCCAAATATGGGCATATGGTTTTTGGCTCATAACTCAGTCATTTTTTGTCCAATCTTGATGAAATTTCATATACGAGTTCAGGAGACCACTAGCTACAAGTAGAGCACCATAAACCTGGGTTTTGGGCATGTTCAGGGAATTTGGCTAAATTGGGCCTAATTTGGACCAAATATGGGCGTGGCTGCCCTGCGCGCACCGTTTGGCGGTTGGGGTCCGGGACCCCCTCAAAAGTTCGGTCACTGGTCCTAGTTTGTTGGTCAACTACTATCTCGAAATCAAGTTTCACAAAAAAATACCCATTGACCCCCCCCCCCCCTTAAGTCATGTGTATAGCATATCAGAAGGGCGTGACGAATACGAGGGATGACAGGGGAATATTGAATAACCGATATTTTCGAGATGGATGTCGTTGAAGTTAAAATTACGAAGCCAAATCGAAATCTATTCTCGACGTTCTTGATATGTCGATTTGTCAAAAACCGAATAATTTCGAAAGTTCTTTACATTTGAAATATATAAAAATGATGAAACTGGTGACCAAATAGTTTTAAATATGATAACGAGACTGTTCAGAATGAGTTAAACAATGCAATTGCAAACTGTAATGATGTTCTCTCTTTAAACAAAACATGAAACTCACCGTCAATCTCCTCCTGGGGTGTTTTGCTCATAGCTACAAAATAGGAACATGTTGGTTACGAGAAACAAAGAAACCCTGGCGATTACTGAGTAAAGTGATCTCGAACACACCAGGCCATCTAAGTATTAAGTAGTATAATATGCACATATTAACGAACTTAATTATCACGTGTCAGTCACGTGCCAGTCACGTGAGAAAGGAGCAACCTGGTACACACCATGTGGTCAGACATTAAAGTTGACCGCCTTGCTAAGCCTTCACTGAATATTGGTAAAAGTCTGAAGAATAATCTTGAAAGGTCAAGAACATTATGGAAATTTGTTTGGAGATCTCGAGGGACGAGGTTTTATTATAGCTTGTAAGGAATCAAGAGCTATATTTATAAATTATATTACATATAACAACTAACTTAATCTAACATTCAAATTTCAAATATCATCGTATTACGCACAAAAATATTGATTTCAGACAAATCTAAATAACACAGCTCATTTCATTATCACAAAATGAAATAAAATACCATGACGGTTACGAGTGATGTACCAAACGATACTGCACGAGTTGGGGATTGTCATACCCGGCCCTTCTGTATGGTTAATCTAAATCATGGTCAAGCATATTACAACCATATCATTAGTAAAGCACATATAACCAAAAATTTAACATAATGACATTCAATATTCTTCAGGAATAAGAACCAACTTCCTTATATTATGGTCATTTCAAGTGATCAAAACAGTTGATAACTCGTCGATAACTCGACAGTGGAGAATTTTAGCCCTATGTCATGTGGGGTGATTCGGAATCAGAGTTCAAAAATACATCTGTTCGAGGAGGTTTCAACGGCAGGAAAATCTCGGAGTTCGAGTGTAAAGTGGTTTAGCATGATTTTCGTTAATATAATGATAATATTTATACGGATTTGCTGATAGATACGAAGTCGTTTTGGCGAAATTCCGGACATCGGAATTCCAAAAGCTGCTACTTTTGGAACTATATAACTTCCTTCTAGAATTAAACATTTCTTAAAGGAACATGTGGAAGGGTTATCTAAGGCTTGACTGTTGAAATATTGAAATATATTATAGTGACGATTACAGTAAAGTTGTTGGTTTAAAGTTGACGAGGTGGACAGATTGGGGTTTCGATTATTATCCCAATCTACCCTGTTTTAACTGGGCGAATCTGTCCGGCAGTATCTGATATCCACACTAAGACCGACGTCCCTGCCCACACTTGACAGCCAGGACACAAGATACGTATCCCCACCCTCCACCAACCCCATCATCTGCTCTGTTCTACAAGGGTGGAGCTCGTAGAAAGGTCTCGCTAATACAGGGTGATCTATCTGGGTGATGTAGCTGTATTTATCAGAACAGGGCGGAGCTAACTTCCAGATCTCGTCCGCCGAGAGGAGTTTACCAGTCGAGTGCCAGGCGTTGAAGTAGAGTACAGGAACTGTGTAGGAGCAACTGTAGGTCACGTGATACTCTAATGTTATCAGGTGAGATGTGGAGGCGATGGTAAGGGAGTCAGGGTCTTCTTCTAGTGTGATGTAGTCCTCTGACATATCATCTTCTGATTCAGCGCTGTTCTGGGATTGGTTTGTTTTTGAGATGGAGTTTGAATTGCTTCTGTCATCTTCTCTGAACGATATTGGAATTTTCACTGTCTTAACGATATAAACGTCATCTCTATCTTGCCTCAACTCCCATCCATCGCCTATTTTGTCTGATAAGGATACGAGATCTTTACATTGCTTCTTATAATCTTCTTCAGTCAAGGTTCCACTCATCTACTAGATAGTGGGGATTTAAACATTCTAAAATAATCTAAGCCAAAATCTATGTGTCATAATCTATGTGTAGCTTATAAAATAAAAAAACTTGAATATGAAAAGTGAACCAATCTATTCTGGTTAATAATTTAAAATCATTAAAATACCGATAAACAAAAATTGTAATAAACATAAAAATATAAAAATCAATTTACAAAACATGGAATAAACATGACATAAGCTCTGAAAAATAAGGGGTTCACTGTGAATAAAACCGGAAACCAACTGCTTTTCTATTTTAATAGAAGTCACTATCAAAGACATGTTTATCGTAATCAGACTTGTCCTCACTCCTCATCGTGGAGCCCACACTACCATCATCCTCTAGATGGAGTCTGTTCAGTTTTGGAACAAATGGCGGCTGTAACACTACACTTTGCTGTTCGGTTAGTTCCTTCGCCAGCTCCGCGTTCTTCTCGAAGTATCCCCGCCCGTATGCAAAGTTGGGAGGACAGAATCTGTAGAATACTGTCCTTCTAGATTCTGAAGTTCCCTTCCAAGGAAGGGCACCGTGTGTGGCTGCCTCGGTGAATATCAGCACATCTCCTGGGAGGCAACTAGTGTTATTCTATATTTTATGTTATTTAAATTTAAAAGCATACCTATGACATTTTCATTAAGAAATTCTCGATGTTTCCGCACTGGAAATAGCAGTATGTTGTAAAAGTTAAAACTTACATTAACTTTATAATTTTGACCATTAGCAAACCGCTTCTACTAATCGGTTACCTTTACAAAATCGTCTCAGGAGAGAAGTATAGTGATTTATATTAATAACAGTTTATTCGAAGTAAAACGGAAATTTATATGAACTGACCAGGATTAAGGGCAGGGTTGATAAGGTAATCATTCTTCTCCAACTTGTCACACCCAGCAATTTCAGGAGGAATGGGAAAGTTAGCTTTGTGAGAGCCTGGTAGGATCACGAACCCACCGTCTCCTGGCTCTGTCTTGTCTAACGGTATTGCTACGTTCAGTAAATTACACGATATCTTTCCATACCTGGGTTTGTCAGGTTAAAAAATACTGAAGTTAGCACAAAAGTTATGTTAGCACAGCCTCGGGTAACAATTTAAAAACATTAAAGAGTGCTTTGTTCAATCATTTAAAAAGATTAAGTAAAATAACACTTAAATGGTTTGAATGTGTCTTTTTGGGTATGTTTTTAATGTCGAAGCGTGGTATAAATACTAGATTTTATACTCTATTTATAGCAATAACATTTGAAGACTATTTGGTTCAAATATTATTCAGTTTGTACCTACAATCGTAACTGAGGTATGGCATCCACTGACCACTTTCGTTTACATTCCCACCATGGAGATCAGATCCTTCAGCATTTTTGTATTGAATTATTGCTACTGGCAAATGATCCAACCTGTTAAAATAACATTCAGTCAAATACCATGTTTAAAAAGACAATTACGGAGAAAATTCAGAAATCAGACTGAAGTTGTTGACACTATCGTGTCTAAATGAAAAGAAAAGTCTGCAACTAACCTATAACCTTTCCCACATAACTCATTCATCACAGGAATAAGTTGAGGAATGACAAGGAACTTCCTGAACACATCACAATACGGTTTATCCCAATTCAACACAGTTCCACAATCCAACCTTCCTTTAACTCCGTCCCCTTGGAACGCTTCTAATGTAGACTCCCTCATTTCCCCAGTTCTCTCCTTAAACCGGCGCAGATTAGCTGAGATTGCAGTTTGGGCAGCTGTCACGTGATCAGATGGGATGACGTTGCGTATGATCACGTACCCACACAGATCGAATAAGTAACGCTGATTTGCTGTTAATTTACTCATCTGTTTCTTTGATCATAGCCTAAATAAATAGTGGAATGTGAGAGTGTTGCCAATGAGTCAGATTATTGGAGAGCTGCAGCACTGAACAGATGGCAGTCACAATTCACAAACCCGAATACATATCATATGGTAGCAACTTTATGTTATAGTAACGAATCCTAACTAAAAATGTAAATTGGTTTACATTATATCAAACATCAAAGGTACGAACACAATTTACATGATAAATATACAACTTTTCTAAATATATCTATCTAAATGAAAAATGGGTCACTGTTCACATCAAATCAAAACCATTTTGTGAAGCAGATAGGGCTAAACAATTGTTAAATCAAGGGGTCACGGTAATCAGACCTAGCCGAAAGTGAAGTTCTTGGGGCGTCTGGGCCAAAACCTGTCCTTCAGAAATATTCACTATCAAATACTTGTCTGTCATAATCTAGCTTCATTTCACTCCTAACAGTGGTCCCTACACTCCCATCGTCCTCTAAATGAAGCCTGTTTAGCCGGGGAACAAATGGCGGCTGTAACACTACACTTTGCTGTTCGGTTAGTTCCTTCGCCAGCTCAGCGTTCTTCTCGAAGTATCCCCGCCCGTATGCAAAGTTGGGAGGACAGAATCTGTAGAATACTGTCCGTCTAGATTTTGAAGCCCCCCTCCAGGGGAAAGCTCCGTGAGTGGCAGCTTCTGTGAATATCAGTACATCTCCTGAACGAGTTAGGATACGTCAAAGAAGAGGAGGGAAATGAAAGGATTTGGATAGATTTAATAAGAACTTTCATGACGTATGGTCAGAACGGTTTACAGGATCAGATGGAAAAGTCAATAGTCAATGAACTCACCAGGATTAAGAGCGAGGTTTAAAAGATAATTATTCTCCTCCAACTTGTCACACTCAGCAATTTCAGGAGGAATGGGAAAGTTAGCTTTGTGAGAGCCTGGTAGGATCACGAACCCACCGTCCCCTGACTCTGTCTTGTCTAACGGTATTGCTACGTTCAGTAAATTACACGATATCTTTCCATACCTGCGATTATGCAGTTATTAAGTGCAGGTTCTACGTTATGTTATGTTCGATTACACGGTACCATTTCTAATCAACTATAAAATAAAATTTGGAGCTCTGCACCCGTATTGTGCCTAGAACCGAAACTAACCTGGAACGAAGTTCAGCAGTGTTAAGTTACAACCTTTTTCATAAACTTATGCAAATAAATGTTCTTAAGTACAACTATGCCGTGAATCCGATTACAAGGCCACACCTTGTTGATACTTAGCGAGATACGTTTTACTAACAGATTCAAATAACAAGTGTATCAGTACCTACAATCGTAACTAAGATCCTGCATCCACTGACCATTCTCATCAACATTTCCCCCATGAAGGTCGAACCCCTCAGCCTCTTTGTATTGGATTATTGTCAATGGAAGGTGGTCCAACCTGTGGTATTCTGTTCATTATTTGCTTTCAAATTTTTACATGATCCAATCTATCCATACCGTACTGTACAATTATACAATTCGTGATATTTAAATAGGTTATTCTAATCAACGAGTACAGGATTAAAAGCTTAATAAATTGTTTCTGATTTATTACTTTTATGCGATTTATTGAAAGGCCACTTGCCTATAACCTTTCCCACATAATTCATTCATCAAAGGAATAACTTGAGGAATAACAAGGAACTTTCTGAATATCTCACAGTGTGGCTTATCCCAACTCAACATGGTTCCACAATCCAACCTCCCTTTAACATGATCACCCTGAAACGCTTCCAATCTAGAGTTCCTCAGGGCTCCCTTCCGCTCGTGGAACTTATGAAGATTAGCCGATATAGCTTCTTTAGCTGCGTTGAGATCCTCGCTGGGTATGATATTTCGGAGTATGAGAAACCCTCGCAGGTCAAATAGATAACGTTGTTGAGCCGTCAAACCACCCATCCTACGTGACATGCTAGCAGGTTAGTTTATCAGCCAAATTAGTTAAGTAGGTAATTAGTGTAATCATACGTAACAGTTTGGTGAAATCTTATGTCCCAATAAACTTTTGTAAGTCGATATCAAGGTATTGATATCGACAAAATTAACGTTACAGTTTCAAAATCTTGAAATAAAACGACATCCTTAACGAAGAAAATGACACATTATATACCAAAAATGATACATTGTATACCAACAAATTTTACTGAATATATAAAAGATAAACTAAACATAGTAATATTCGTTTATGTCAAATCGCAATTTAAGGCGGCAATATCCTCTATCTACAGCTAAATATGTACTGACTGAAGGGGGTCGATGGAATGAAAGAAAGCAACGAATATAAATTACTGAACTTCCCCAATCTTGCTACCCAAGACTATTCAAAGATAATTAAACAAATCGCATAGAAATTTACAGAGTTCAAGATTTACACGAGTTTCTTAGCCTCGAAGAAGCCCTTGAGATGCCGCATCTGCCACGCTCCGACGAGAAGCAGAATACTGGTCTGAGCAACTGCCCACCACAGTACCCTGTTGTTGGTGCTCTCAGAGGTAAATCTGAATCTTTCCTCCCGACTCTGAAATAAAAATAAAATGTTATTCTAGATGTGGGAACCCATTATTAGTAGGGCCTTCTGTTGCGGAATCGTAATGATATCAAGAATAGGCTGACGTGGTACAGTCCCTTACTCATATTACTTATAGAAACGAAAATTTTGCGCGCCTTTGCGCAAACTTCGCTTTATTTCTGTTACAAAAAAGTCACGGCGCGTTACGCATATAAAATTTAAAGGTTGGACACATTTTGCCACACGTACGACGAAGAGGATGTATAACCTAAATAAACAACGCACCCTTTGATAATTCTGCTCCTTAGTTATCTGGTCAACTTGTTCCAGAAGCTGTCTTACTCTCAGTTGAAGCTCACTCAGCTTCTCCTTGGCTTGGATTTGTTTGTAATCGTTTGCGTGTTCTCCTACATCGATACTCAGATACACACGCTGAAAAGAACAAAAAAGCTAACAACTTTTAAAAAGATGATTAGTCTGTACAATAAATGCACTCTGCAGAAAAATGGTGTCGTGGAAATTATAGTACAAATGTATATCTGTTGAACATTATCCCAGTAAAGTAAGTAATCAAGATGAGCCAACTCAGAAGCAAGGAATTTATTGCTTCAAGAGGACAATGGAGAATTTTACTAACCAGGCGACTGCCGCCACTAAACCACCGAGTAGAGTTGGGACTGAGACAAATGTGGTGCTCCCCCGGGGTGTGCGTGGTGAAGACAAACTGTCCTTCGTTTGTGTAGTACTTCGAGAGAATTACTTTTGCTTCCGGGTCCTTGATGTCCACGTGCATGCCGATACCATCTTTGCTGACGAACTGTTCTGATTTATCGTCGTATACCTCTACTTTATATTTACCTGGTGGAAGATAGAGTTTTAATACAATAGCCTCATGTAATTAATAACAGTAAAAATTATCAACTCTACCACCTGCTCATCATTATCCTTTATCCACGTATACCATATACCTAAAATTAAACGTAAAAGCACACTCACCACTAATCATAGTAATTAATTAATTAATTAATTAATGTAAACTCACCACTAATCATAGTAATTAATTAATTAATTAATTAATTAAATGTAAATACACCACTAATCATAGTAATTAATTGATTAATTAATGTAAACTCACCACTAATCATAGTAATTAATTAATTAATTAATGTAAACTCACCACTAATCATAGTTTCATCAGGGACCTCCTCAACAAAACACTTAACATCTGTTTCCCACATGTGGAAATAAAGGGCACTAATTGAAGGCAGTATTAACACACATACCAACCAAGTGTAGGTGGACATGTCTACACTACAAAACTGTGGAGTGTTCAGGTTAGTTTGGATAATTTTATTTTTTAAACGTTCATAAAAGAAAGTTAGTTTACAAAATTAAAGTAACAATAGATTAACTAGAGTATAATGACAATATTTATTACAGAGTTTAATGAAAAAGAAAACATAGCCATTGTGCTATGTGCTACACAGAAACAAAAGATCTCGAATATTCAGAGACAGATGAAAATGTTATACACATTATATTATAGTTTGATTGAGTAAAGAATTGCTACACAACGATTTTCATTTTTTCAAGAACAATAATTTATAACAAAACAATCTGCAATGAAGTCACCGTAATTATCATGAAATGATAAATTGAAACAATGACAAAGTGAAAATTGAAATAACAATTTTCACCAGGACCGAGATTAATCGGGATCAATTTCGATCACTGGCCTCAAAATAATCGTCACATCTAGAAATAAATATACATTCACACAATTAAATATTCTTCAAAGAAAGTATCACAACGTCAAGCTTTTAAAGCTAGTCCAGCTAGCAAACAAACAATCACACTTACATGCTCAGGTTCACTTTTAAAGTATAATTAAAATTGTACCGCCAGCCTACAATAATACAACTAGAAGTTATTCCTGGGGTTTGCTGTGAAGATAGACAGAAGTAAACTCAGGATACGAAAACAGACGTGTAGGAGCACCGTAGAATCGGAGGCCACGTGACACGTACACGTGGGTGTCAGGTGTTACTTGGTACAGTCCAGCAAAGTACGGGTTAAGGCCACAGGGGGGGGTCCGAGGTCGAAAAAAAGTTTTTTGCCAGTTGGCAGACCACGTACTATCTGACGCTTGCACACCACCCTTAGCCCCCCAAAGCGCCTAGTTTGTCGTAAAATTGAGGTTAACTATTGCCTTTTTAATCAGTTAACCTCACAAATAACCAGTTCTTAACATTTTGTCGCTCTCGTCACAAGTTAAACTTATCAATGGGTATCAATTGGCCATCCAATGTGAACAGAACTATTATATGTCCTTTATTTGTTGGAAAATTGAGGTTAACATATTTTCTCAGAATCATGGTCTTTTGACTCTCCTGAACAATTTATTTACCACCTCAAAAACCTATCTTCTCCTAGAGCTTTTATCCATTTCACCTCAAATTTGGAACTTATGTTCCTGACATAAATTTAAAAGTTTGTTATGTAACGATTGTTGTAATTTTGCTCCTAACTCTTTTTATGAGGTTAACCATTTTAAATTTTGTAAATTTTGTAATTCTCACTCATGGTTAACCTCATATCTCAGCTTTGGAGCAAGATATCATAAATCGTTACATAACAAAAACTCAAAATACCTTTAAGAACATTGTTGGCAAGTTACAAGGTTCTAAGTCATAAACTAAAAAAGAAGATAGATTTTGAACACAATTGCATTTAAAGTTTTCATTTACAATAGAATTACAGGTAAACCTCAAAATTCAACGCGCGATATCTTCAAATAGGAAACTTTGTTTTCGGTAAGGACAAAAGCATTTGAAAATTTAGATCGAGCTCTACATCATATCTCAAAATCTCAAAATTGACCTCGGACCCCCCCCTGTGGCCTTAACAAGGTACACTGGAATGTGGATTGGGAAAAACTGTCCTCCGTGTGTGTGCCCTGAGGAAAAATTTATTGTTAAGGTAGTTCAATACAAAGCGTGTCTATGATTACCTAATATGGGCATTACGTGTCTCGTCTGAGGGGAAGTTGGATTCTTCACATTTTTTACTTCCACAGAATTTACATTTTCCTTTTTTTGGTTTAATTGCGTAAGTATTGTCTCGTTGTAACCATTTGTTGACAATTATTCACAGCACACTAATTGATGAGACACGCTTTGTATTGGACTACCTTAACAATCAGACAAAAGAGGCTGAGACTGACCAAGCATGAAGCATAAAATTTGAAGAATCTATAACATACATTTACTTATTTACAGTACATTGGAATTCATTTATAAGATTTAATTGAGTGTACAGACCTGACAAGACAAGATCAACTCGAGGGAGCAGTTTAATGGTGAGTTTAGCAGCTTTAGGTTGGTGAGCTAACATAATAATGGGGGTATCGTCAGGACACCCTGCTGCTGCTGCTACCGGGTCCGGACTGTGGTCTGTGTAACTGGAAGAGTGAAAGTATACACTAATTAATACGTTTTTAACATGAGACATTTTACTAAGATGATATTCAATCCGTATTATGAAATATAATGGTATTCACTATTCCTCGTAGTTTAAAAGTTTAAAAAGAAATCCGATCAAACGACATCCTAATTCCACGTACAGAGATTTCTAACCTCATTTTCTCGGCTTGAGGATCGTCAATACCAGTTACACACAAGGTAGCATTTCCTTCTTTTACAAGGTGGTGTTGGTTGTGAAGAGTGGTTAATCCTAATTGATCTCTCAAGTAATTTAACCAATTATCTACATCATTCGTGTAGTACTCGTGGTTTCCTGAGTTGGAAAATAGTAAATAACAAAAAGAGAAATAAGAGGAGTATTGTTTCGTTCAATCACTTAAAACGATCTGTTTCCCAGTCAAAAAGCGAATCAAATGATTGTAGAGCAACTACCTATAGAGTATAGAGTATATACCAACCTGTAACGTAGAATGTCCCGTACTTCGACTTCAGATTCTTGAGATTCCATACGGCATTCTTGAGATTCTTAACGGAACTATCAACCAAATCTCCCGTTATAAAGACCATGTCAGGATTATACGTGTTCACCTCGTTCACTAACCAGTCCACAAAGACCTTGCCCGTGGTCGGACCCACATGAATATCAGACAGGTGCATAATATGCATTTTGTCAAACTTAGGATCCAGTCCACTGATAGGAACATGAACTGTGCTGTGTTGAGGAGGGAGAACTGTGTTGACATACGACCATACCGTCAATATTATAGCACATATCGGAACAAAGTTCAACTTAAACTTCTGGTAAGTTATACTGATTTTCATTGTGAAGGGTATGAAGATGAATGTTCCGATATCTCCACAGAGAGTCCCTATAAATAAGAACACGTGGCATGACATTGCAAGGAATGGTATAATTGTTATTGGGGAGGGGTTATCTGATACAAACATGTACTGAGCAACGAAAGAGAAATGAGTCAGTAAGATGATGGGGACGATAAATTTCTTCCACAGGGAAGAAATTTTGTAAGATCTGTATAGGTAGTAGCTGCCGTAGGATAGAAGGGTTTGCAGAACCGTCATTATCTGTAGTCTCATGAGTTTGTATCTGTACCATGGTTTGTTGATGGAGATGTGAAGTTGAAGACAGAAGACGACCAGTACTGACAGAGCAGTTAACTTGAGGGCGGTTCTCAGGGTCCCTGCCATTTTACAACTGAGATATCAGACAATGTTATTGTTGTGTAACTTGAGCTGTATTTAATTAATTAATTTCTATCTTAATTATAATTAAAATAGAAAGTAATATTAATATTCAAGTAATAGGTTAAGATTATAATGATATTTTACTGAGATAGAGATTTGATTTTGATGTTTTTTGGAAGATCAACTAAAATAAATTGAAACATAACTCTGACTGATAAAAATAGTGATTCGTTACAAAAATCATAACATTCACCTATAAAGATATCTTCGCCTAGTAGCATATCATTTCCTATCCTAAGATAATTATCAAAAAATATTTGAACAATACACAAAAGATAATAAACTGGTAAAGAATAGCAAAATATAATAACATCTTACATTATTTTATCACGACTCAAAAAATAACTTGATATCTGTCATATACCAGATTTTGAAGAAAAAGCTGAAGAATAAAAAAATTTTCGCATGCAAGACTCAATTAGTCAACCCAAATCGTTTGTAAAACAATAAAAATCGAAAATGGATGATATTCATTTTTCCATAAAAATTTCTAAACTTTTGAGACAAGTTCTACCGATGTGATGACCTGTGGGAACCTCTATCTCTACCTCTGGAGGACTCCTCTGGGTATCTTGTCCTCTCCTCGGGGTGTCTCTCTCTCTCATCATCTTGTCTCTTACCCTCACAATTCCTTGTCCTATCACCTCTCTCACCTCCTTCTTGATATCTGGATCTGTCTGATTCTCCATGTCTGTTCTCACCAGGGGTTTTCCTCTCTGCATCACCCCTCCGACGATCTCCTTCATTCCGATTCCTTCTCCTACCTTCATCACTCCTTTGTTTATCCGCTGGTTCTGTTCTCCTCCTTCTGTCATCAGTTCGTGGTCTGTCTTTAACCTGGTCTCTGCGTGACCTACTACCCTCCCCGTCAGCTCGCTCATATTCAGGCACTAAACTGATCTTCTGTGTGGATTCAGTTGATTTTTTGTCAATTTGTATCGATGATGTAGATTTCGACCGTTTAGAACCATGATTTTCGGCTGATTTTTCTCTTGACTTGTCTCTTGATCTGTGTCTACGCCTTGACCCTGATCTAGATCTCGAAAGAGGCTTCTCTCCATTTGACGAAGAATCGTCTGCTTTCAGAGCTTTCTCCTCCGCTTTTTTCTTTTGATACTCCTTCTCCTCCTCTTCTCTCTTTTTCCAATATTCTTCTTCTTCCTTTTCCCACATTTGCCTCTTGAGCACCCTGAGCTCTTCAGCTCTCTCAAAAGCTTCTTGTTCTTTGGCTTCAATTTGAGCTTGCTCTTTTCTCTTTTCATCTCTCTGACGTTTTTTGAGTTGGCTCTGAAGCTTTAGTTTTAATCTTTCATGAGGTTTCAATGCTTTTAAAGAATCTGCTTTTTTCAATGGCATATCATTTACTTTGGGACGATTGTCAGGAGATTTAGGCCTAGAATCTTTTACAGGAGAAAGTTTTCTTCGAGGAGATATCCCTCTGCCACTCTTTGTTCTGCTCCTGCTTCTTTGTCTGCTAGAGGTTGAACTGTATTTCCTGCCTCTAGATCTTGAACGTGATCTACCCCTAGATCTTGTCCGGGATCTACTTCTGGATCTAGACCACCCTCGAGAACGTGATCGGCTCCTGGAACTGCTTCTAGAATAGCCATTGCCAGATCTTGATCTTCTTGACCGAGATTTATTTGGACTTCTACTGCGAGATCTACTGTTTAGGGCAGGTTTAGACTCTGGCGAAGTGTTGGATGCCTCCAATGGTACTGGGGCACTTGGTCCAACTCCAAAGTCAAACGCTTCATTGTTTTTTGACAGCAGCTGCTTTCTTGCAGCGACCAAATTTGATAATACTGTGCTAGTTGTTTTGGGCTGAAGAAAAACAGGGAGTGACTTTTTGACTGGTTTCTGGACGGATTTGACATTTTTGTAAGTGTTTGACCTGGCTGAAGAAATTTCTATATTCTGAACAGTCTTCTCCTCGTCTGATGAACTGTCTGTCTCATCTTTACGTCTGGAAGAAGATCTCCGTAAGTGTGGATTTCTGTAAGGATCATCAACTCTCATGTGAGGTGGAACATCTTTACTCTTTCTCCTCTCCTCTTTCTCTTTCCTTCTCTCAGTTTTACTTAATTTAGCAACACGCTCTGCTCTATTTTGCTCCTCCCGAATCTCAAACTCTCTCATTTCAGACTCAACTTTATCTTCAATGTGAAGACGAGTGAAGTCAGGAATTGCATAAGATTCAGCCGCAATCTCGTTGAGCTTTGATTTATTTTCTGCATCCAATTCCCGTACATCAAAAGTAATGTCCAGATCAGGATCCTGTGGAATTATAAAATGTGATATAAAACAAAGTTATCAAAAACAGCAGTTTGTAGTAATTCCTAGCACAATTTTTCATCATTATTTGTATTTATAATATTATACAGCCCCAGAATATTTTAGATCAGGGATTAAAGGACTTTCTGACAGTGACTGCACATTTTTATGTCATAAACTGACTTATTAACTATTTCTGTTTTCTATTTCACTCACTCTATATCATATTGCAATTGTGACCTACCACAGTCCAATGCTCTACAGATAAACCTATAACTAGTTGATGTCTAATGTAGGCATGAGATGTTCTTGTTGAATGATAAAATCAATAAATTTACATACAGTAGGCAAAAACTCCTTTGAATCAGCTTCGGAATCGTCACTTTCACTTTCACTTTCTGCATTGTTAGAGTCATAACTGAAGCCAATCTTAGCGCCACTAGATGATGCTGATTTCTTTGTTACTTTTGTTAAAACTGCAGACTCGTCCTCAGCAATTTGTGTGAGACACTCATCTTCACCGAGACCAACCTGTCAAAAAGATTATTAGCAAAACTGTTTATTTGTTCCTCTTAGTTGCTTCAGTTTAACTGCTTGTTCTTATGTTCATATTTAGGTTAACAACTTTCATACATAGTCTCAGGTTGTGGTTGAAGAAGATTTTTAGTGACTAGGCCATAATCAGCTTGGTCTCTTCAATTTAAGCATATAATGCATCTATTGGAAAGTTCATGTGAACAGTTTGTTGGGTTTTCAGATGTATAGATATGTTTGATGTCAATCTTTAAAAATGGTTTAAGGCCTATAATTGTTCCCCAAAAACAGTTTATTAGACCAATTGTAGATAGTGAGCAACTAGAGAGCTATTGGTTCAGGATCTCTGTCAGCTACACCAAGTCGTGAGACAGACAGACAAACATACAGACAATCCCACCAAATCATTAGTCGCAAGTGTTCTCCATCTTTCATACTGGCATTTCTGGTCAACCACTGCATTTTCCCCCAAATCAGATGATATCAAGATATTCCCAGGTTCAGGGATAATATCCAGGTTGGCCCTGACATCAAATCTATCAATCATGTTAGATCTCTGCCCTTGCCAAGGCATGAGAGCAGAAGCTGCTATCTCAATTTCAGTAGCTTCTTCCTCAACAAAGATTTTACAAGATGCTCCTTGAAGTCTCAAAAACTGGGTAGGATCAGCTTTAATTCTGTGATAGTATAGTCTGCGTCTTTCAGATCTTTTCTTGTAGTCCACCATCATTCCCCTTATCTTACGCTCTTGTTTACGAGCCTCGTGCCACATGTTGCTAAACAAAGATAAGATATTATTCAATGGATGTAACAACATTTAGAGCAATGCGACTCATTTTTTCTACCAATTATAAAATCTGATAGTTGGATAATATTTTTTTTAAAAGTTTTTCGGGATTGTCCCACATTCAAACGACAATTTGGCGCCCCCTAAGATTGCGCCCCCGCATGGCGGAGTCGGCGGGGCCCTTCGTAACGCCACTGGACAGAGGTTAGAAACATCTTATTAATAAACTTATTACTGTCGTCAGCTGATGGTGTGATGTGAAGACCGTTGAAGGAAAATAATGCTAATGAATAATGTAATAAAGGAAAACAAACATAAAATACAGCCAAGAAAGTACCTACACAATTAAAATGTACATACTACCGAAATTTTAGCAATCACTCAAAAATGTAACAAAAGCTTGAAACTATTACAACACTATTAATCTATTATATGTATAATTGAGGTGTGACAATGAACATAGAAGACTGCTATGACGATTAGTGACAGCCACATAGACAAGAGCAATGGTATAAGCCTTCACGAAAATCATGGCAGACCCAGAAGCTCTTTCGCAATCATGATCGAATTATAATGGGATTCATAACATATATGGGAAAATCGGTAGTGTTCCTTGGGAAATAGTCCAGGTAGTCAAGATTGCTTGAATTATTTACCATGGAAAGGGTCTAGGAGCCAGTTGCACTGGGAAGATTCGTCATCTTTGTTCCTTCAATGTTATGTAAGGAACGAATAATCCAAGAGCGCATTAAAAATGTCATATAACTGAAGACGGAGTCCAACAAGACATAGCATTCAGCAGACTTATGCTGCAGGGAAATATTTTAAAAGCTAAGAAATACATCGATAGTGACATGGACAGTTCTATAAATTTGGAGTTCAGTCAGTTGACAATCAAAATCTGGAAACACTGAAACAAGAGCATCTAACAACCCAGCCGTCGATTGAGAAATATGCCCAACGTCTGATATATCAGAGGGATCAGACGTAATATCAAAGTGTAACCAGTGATGTATGATTGGATTGCTACGATACTGCAAGCGCAAGGGCTCTGGTTAGAGCAAGGTGATACTCGTAACATATTTTTTTCAAAAACCGCGTCGCGGATGAGTTCAACTCGGCTCGCGCGTGTTTGGTGTTGGTAGATTATTAAACTACAATGTACAAGACAATCAACTGCTTCGAAATTGCGCGCCGCCAGGCCGGGTCATTCCACCAAATATTGCTTGGGGACTCAGGACTGGACCCCTCATCCCAATTAAGCTATTATGTTCATTAACATAAGCTGATTGATTGAAGCTTCGGTGGGATAACAGGCTAATTTAAGCACAGTCGCCAGAAAATGAAACGATGGGTAACAATCGTATTCGGAGGACTTTTGACTTTGCCGCTTCGAAATGCCTCGCAAACTATTATTTTTGCTTTGCATCCTGACGAGACTTTTACTCTACTTTCAGCTTTACAAGTTTCACGTGACACAATTCGGCCAATCATGAATCAGAGGACTGAAATCTTCAAAGTTGAAGCTGCGAACTTTTATTTGGCCTAAAAGATATTTTTTGGGATACCTCAAATCTAAATTATTTAAAATTTCCTTATTTAAAAAAAGTTATTTTTGTAGCGCAATGCAATACTGAGCCGCGCATCAAATAATTCTTCTCGCAACCACTTCGGTAGATCGGCGAAATGCACCACTAGGTCTCACCGAGCTGCGAAGGATTTACATCTTGAATCAAGCAGTAGCAAGTAATTAGCAGTAGTTAGCACATAGCAGCAGTTTCACCTAACCAGGTGCTTTCACGCCGCTGCTGGGCACGCGCTTGTTTCACAAGTAAAGCAGCAGTAAAGTGGTTAGCAGCAGTAAAGTAGTTAGCATCAGTTAGCAACAGTTTTCAGCAGTTGTGAATTGCGCCGCGCAGTCTAGTAATTTTTAAAGCGCTTTACTGCTGAAATGAAACAATTTGCAAATTCAAAATTTTATATTACCAGAATTTAGTTGAAAAATTGACAAATAATAATATTAATCCTTTGGCTAGGTAGTGCGCCATCGACAGTGAGCCGCACGTCAGCACGTGCCGACTGTAGGATGGTTTTTTAGCGCTAATTTCGGCCAGCACAATTTTCTTCAAACAAATAAATATTAAGTATCCTTCCCGACCTCCGATTGCAACAAAAATTGGTAAGCTTACTCATAGACTTACAAGGAAGGTGTCCGAAAAGTTTAAAGCATATCCAACCATCAGACATTATGTTACAGCTAAAAGCAGCGTATTTTGCCCCATTTTGATCACTATATCAACTCCAATATCCACCAAATTTTTCGGACAGTTGTGAAAGCCCTATTGGAAGGTCGTCGCCAATATTCGGAATGATCTCATTCAAGGAACTGAAGATATATCCAAATAATACGACAAAAATCAACGAATTTGGTCAAATTTGGTCAAATTACGCGACTTTTACAGCTAATTTTGCTCCAAAAGCCGCGCACCATCAAATATGACACCTAGGCGAAACCCACTGATCTTTCCAAAAAGGTATAACAAATTTGGTATTGTGAAAATTGAAAATTCTCACAGTCTCTAGAAAACAATGGCACACAAATTTTTAAAATCCGAGCAAGTTTATTTTGATGATGCACCCCTTACTTTGGCCGCGTCGCGGCCCAATAGTGCATTTTTATACCAAAATATTTGTATTTAATATTTGTAAGCGGCGTTTTAACAAATGATACTTGTGACTCGTACAATATTTATTCTAAATTTATTAAAGACCGTCGACGAGTCCAACTCGGCGCGCGTCGCGTCTTTGTTATAGGTTTTAAATCTACGACATACACAATACAAAGCGGTGCGGTGCTCTACTCAGCCTGTCATTCAGCCAAATTTCTTTATTTTTATGAACATAATAGCATGTTTAAAGGTTTTTAAACATACGGAAACAGATTTGCGCGTAAAACATATTGGCGCGCTTTGGAAACTTCCTGAACGGGTGATACTCGTAAAATTGCTCTAACCAGAGCCCTCTCGCTTGCAGTAGCGCGCGACCGCCGGAGGCGGCAAATATCCTACTTGTGAAACAAGCGCGTCACGCAGTACGCGTAGGCACATGGCTATGTGAACTCGTAAAATATCTGTTCCATATATCACAGGACCGTCAAAGAGTCCAACTCGGCGCTTGACGGATGTTACTCGTCTAAATTTCTTCGAAGTAGCGCGCGCCGGGCCAGACCATTAACAATGGTCAAACTCGGCGCGCGTGGTAGGTTATAGACCTACAAAAAATTCCAGACGTACGCCGAAATACAACTGTTAACTTCATTATTATAATTTTATAGTCATATTGTCATATTGTCATAATGCATAAGCTCCATCATCCATGTCCACCGGACTGGTCCGTCACCGTTAACCAGTAACATTAGTTTATAACTTGAACTGGTTGTAAAACGAATATGTTATAATTAAATATAATGTCCATCGATTTGCCAATCGGTCGGTAGAATCATCACGAGTTTCAGTTATCGACATTGAGACATGTTATAGTATTATACGTAATGCAAATGGAATTAATGGAACACCACGGTCAGAAAGAACTTGTAGTGTATGTACTAAGAGCATCAACTTGCGGGTGAACATTTTATGTTTCAAAACCCAACATATTATACATCATTGGAAAGGTCTCATTGAGTAGAGTCATATGGTACCAAGTTTTGGGGAAATGGCTGCTCCTAGCGAAAGTTATAGCCCGTCAAAGTCCCAAAATTGTCACTTTAGACAACGGGGCGGGGCATCGTGTTCTTAAAGTTTTTGACGAATTTTTTTTACAGCATATTGTTTATCACATTTTTTTACACAAGATTTGCTGTATGCCGTAATTTTTAATCCATTATTACAGTCACAATCAATTTATTTTGTCATCAGAGTTTGAATTACGTAAAGAGACAATCTGTATTCCGCATGGTTCCCGGCGCGCTAGTTTGTCTACAAATTATTAATTCGCGCGTTACAATACAGAAGATGAATCCGAGATTGTGGAACCAGATGATACGGTTTTTGAGGCATTTTAATACGGTCATTTTAGTCTGTTAAAGTAATTTCAGAGTGCTGGAAATGGTATCACGGTGTAGGGGGATGTGTTTACTAACTATTTTGACGTCAAAATTATCGCCAGAGGCTCCCTGAGTCATGGAATTGGGAATGAACGGAATGAACAAAAATGAAATTTTTTCTAAAACTTATCGGATTGCCCCAAAACAGGTCGGAATCGTTTGGTATTGACCCTTATAGTGTTCCTACAAAGTTTGGTGGCCCTAGCACTCCCAGAACGCCCACTAGAGACTTGATTCCATTTCCGTATCAAAAAGCTGGTTCCTGAGTATCCGATATTGATACGGTCATTTCAGTCTGTTAAAGGGGCTGCAGAGTGCTGGAGATGATTGTACGGTGTAGGGGGATGTGTTTACTAACTATTTTGACGTCAAAATAGTCGCCCAAGATTCCCTGAGTCATGGAATGAACGAAATGAACAAAAATGAACATTTTTCTAAAACTCGTCGGATTGCCCCAAAACAGGTAGGAATCGTTTGGTATTGACCCTAATAGTGTTCCTACAAATTTTGGTGGCCCTAGCACTCCCAGAACACCCATTATACCCTTGGCTGGATTCAAGAATTTAGAACCAGTTGAGCAGATAAAACGGATTTTGAGAAATGTTGTCTGCTTGTGTTGTTGCAGAGAGTTGAATTTGGTTCAACAGTATTCAAACAAGATGTGTTCCAACTTAGTTTTGTAGCCCTACTAGTTTCAGAACGTCCACTAGAATCCGGTTCCATTTTCTTCCAAGAAGCTGTAGACAAGGTTGTTTGAAATTTAAATTTAACCTCTCTGGTAATACAACTTTTTACTTGGATGGATTTCAATAATTAAAGAGAGCAGATTGTTACTTTGTTATTTTTGAGATTTGATTTTTTGATATCATATGTACAAATGTATAAAT